GGCTCGTAAAGCAGCGTGAACATTTTAATTTCGGCGGAGCAGGCCGGACTTCCGGTCTCTGGTTAAGACCGTGTTTCCCCGGAACGGTCCTAATTTCCAAATGGACCGTTGCCGATGTCCGACGCGCGTCCTCAAATCACGTCGTCAATTTCAACGATGTCTCTTCCGTCGCGCTCGCTCCTCGATCTCGCGCGCGCTATGACAAAAGGAGGATTAATGCGGCGGTCGGCCACACGGATTAGGAAGGATAGCAGCCCGTCTAGGCACTGATTAGGGACAGCCAAGTGCACGATGCAGCCGCATTACCCCCAATGATCGATGCACCCCGTGCGGCGACCTCATCTGCATCTGCCCCCGCGTGCCGCAGCGACGCTTCTCACCCCCCACACACCGCACAGGGCTGGTCGGGCCTCTGGGTCTACACGATGCGTCCCCATTCGCCTGCAAATGCGTCGTCTCACGTCGAGCGCCGGTGCAATCATGTAGAGGACATATTACCCGTCAACGCGGCCGGAGCCGCTCGTTCGTTCAGGCCAAATGATATGCCAAAGCGTAATCTCGCGCGGGATCCTCGAGAGATTAGATCCACCGGCGCAGTAATGACGAATGATGGCTCCTCGTCCGTGAGGATATCGCGCCCGTCAGGTGGAGCAGGGATTATTTCTCTCTCTCTTTTTTTTTTCTCTCGCGAGGGGCGAGAATGAGCCTCGGGACGTCGCGGTGGGAATCGCCCGAGAAACCGACGGGCGGTCTCGTCGTCCCGTGTCGCTTCCGCGGAAGAGGATACCCGGAGATGACGAGTACAGTGCTTTCTTTTTTCGGGGATGTGATCAGTGTCTCGCGCTTCTCGTTGATAAATCGAAGTTACCACGGTCGCGGAAAGGGAGGAAAAGAGAAAGGTAGATAAATTAATTATGTGCTCTGGGAAGATCCCTCCAAGCGCAAAAAATTTGACATTGATCAATTTTTTTTGGACAGAGAGAGAGAGAGAGAGAGAGAGGGAGAGAGCGTTATTTATTCGGCGCTTTGGGATAAATTAAGCGCAATAACAATTAGTACTATTCGCGTATGAATAGATGGTTATGATAATAATCTCGTAATACAGCAGAACAAAAAGGCAAGGAGTGACGCGATCACTACAGTGAAGGGAAGATGAAATGGATAACAACGAGTCAGAGAGAACATACGAGAGTGAAAAAGTTAAGAGTTCAGAAAAATATCAGTGCAACAAAAAGAGAGAGAGAGAGAGAGAAAGAGGGATTGAAGTGGCGAGCCAGAAACGCACGTTTCTTAAGAGTCGAGCAACTTTTTGCACGCGCGCGACTTCCTCGATATTCTCACGAATCGAACCGCGTTGCGAAGGAAGTTTTCGCCCCAGCCGGGTGTCGGTGTCGCGTACAACTCGTCGTTGCGCAACGACACACCGTTTGACAAGACGTAAGTTTCGCGATCTCGGGGTATCTAGTGTCAGCGAGCGAGCGCGCGTGGGGGTTGGAGAGGAAGAAAGAGAGAATGGAATCGCGAGAGAACGCACTCGAATGTAAACCGGACCCTTGTGAGATTCGCGGCCCAACGGCGGTCCCACCGACGACGACTGTCGACGGCTGACCGCACCTTCCGGGCGATCCGGCCCGCGCGGCTCGAAACGGAGCCCAGTCCTTCCCAGGACAGTGTAACACTTGGAAAGGCGGTGGCAGCGGCCATCGCTCGCTGCAGCGAAAGCGGTCGCGAATGACATTTTTTCGGCGAATTTTCACAAAAATAAAATTCACCTGGCTTAGAATTTACCCCGCGTGTAAACGTGCTTCTCGACCAAGCTTGCAGTTTCAAGTTTAGGAAGTAGCACACTGAAAGAAAAGTGCTAAATTCAAGTAATATTTATTTAGTCCAAGTGAAATCATTATTTTAATATCCCTCAGCAAAGTATTTACTTGAATGGAGCATTTTTTTTGTTTTGTTTCAATGTGCAGGTTAGGGATGGACAATACAGTAAGAAATATCGATATTTCGTGTCGATGCGTATTGTAAATGAAAATATCGGGACACCATTAATACCAGCCTGATGTTATAATTCTGTTATAATCTTATACTTTTGGTGCATCGATATTTGTATTTACGATACGCATCGATACGAATTTTTTACCGTATCGTTCTCCGATACAGATATTAAAATAGTTTCTCAGTGTACAATTTGTACTTAACTGTTGAGTACGATTACGTATCCAAAATAAATATACGAGAGGAACGAAACGGGCTGAAATTATAAATAACATAGAGGCGAGCGAGATGACGCGTGTCTCATTCTAGCCGCATTTACGAGCGGTAAACGTCGAGCGGTTCGTACCGGCGAACTTTTAAGCCGGCATCATAAACCGCGAGTCTCTTCCGGGGAATAAGTGTCTATAGATCACGATACGCATTATGTCCGAGGATAAGTTCCCAGGGAGCGCGTATACGTGGCAGAAAGGAGTACGTAGTTCATAAACCAGTATATATCGCGCCCCACCTTCCGCTTCGGCTTCCCCACCTATCGCTCGGCGCGGATCGCCTAGCCGGAGAGCCCTTTTCTCCCTCGGCCGCCTTTTGCCATCCCTCCCGCGCGCTCGGTCCTCCGCAGTATTTGTCTCCACGTAATCAGTCCCCACGTAATTAGTCGCGGCGATGCATGCCGCGGAACGTCGCGCGAGTTACGAGCTAACCCTCTCAGTGAGGCTCGGAAAGTCGTCGCCGAGTAATAATTGCAGCATCAACGTGAGAAACGAACGTGGCGTGCCAGTGGCGATCCTTCCTCTAATGTTCGTGAACGGCCGAGACATTTCTGGATCGCGTCTGTCATCCTCGATTTTCAGTGATCCGTTCGCGATGACGGGATCGCGATGACGACGGCGAAATTGCCGCGACGGAACTTCTTACGTAAGTAGAGAAAGAAAAGAACGATCGGCCGCTCGAAGAAACCGGGAATTCAAGAGAGAGAGAGAGAGAGAGAGGGAAAGAGGGAGGGAGAGACAGAGAAAAAGAGAGGCGTAAATAAATTTTTGCCACAGGAGGGAGAGAGATGGTCGAGCGACGAGTAATGTCGCGTAGCATCGTTGGCAGTACACCAGCCGAGCGTCGTTAACTTTTGAAAATTTGGCCGCGCGACTTCGCCCGCCCGTCGTTGTTCTTCCTCGACCCTCCCGCCTGCGCGGACCGCGCCGATAAACAAGTTTATTGCCGTTCGATATCCTTGAATCGCTCCACGGGAGGGGGGATCGATAAAGCGATGAATAAATAACGGGCGATACAATATCACATGAGGAATCGCCGAGCGGAGCCGCTCGATGAGAAGAAAGAACGAGCGCGGCGAGAAGGACTCGACAGGACGGTTCGCAGGCGTCAAGAGTGGCGCGGTGGGCGAGATCACCAGTCGGGTCTCGAAAGCTGCGAGATTGGTCGCGAGATCGCTAACGACAGACGCGGCTTCATTCAGCCCCCCGCGCCTTTCGTCCGCTTCATCGATCAGCGATCGAGGCGAGCCGCGAGGAGGAGGTGGATGGGGGGAGGAACGACGGAGCGACGGAGGGTAACTTTTAAATAAATAAAATCGATAGGGCGCGACATCGTATCCGAGGGACTCGAGAGGTACGATCTCCTCCTCCTCCTCTTCTTCGGCGAAGAAGGACACCCTCATGAATAAGCAGTGCTCACAGGGGTGTGCGCCGCGTGATTTCGCGCGGGACTGTTGGCGGTAGACCAGCCGGCGAGCGTTTATTTCGCGTCGCCCACGGTTCTCTCTCTCTCCTCCATCCGTCCCCTCCCCCCTCCGGCCCGCCGTCGTCTCTCACTCCCGGCCGCGCCTCACCCCAGCGCCGCGGCGTTCGTTCCCGCCGCCGGCGATGCCAATAACGAGGTTATCCCGCGCGACGCCGCCGCCGTTTCCGTAGAAACCCCTCGGTCGCAGGGCGATCTCCCACCAGCCGGTACCGCGCGCCGACCAATCGCGCCCCGCTGGATGCTGAACGAGGGATGCAAAAGGCGGGGTCGGGCCGGGCGTGGGGATGAAAGCTCGCCGGCGCGAGGCGGGGGTCGAAAAGCTGTCCGAAGTCACGTGTGTCCGACGGGCAGAAGCCTCCTTCGTGCTCGCCTCCACGTCGGCCCGCCGCGGCCTGCTTGACGACACGACACGGCTGCTGGCCGGCTTCTTCGCCGATCGCGACTGATTACGATAACGAGCGCCTCCGTCCACCTGGAGGGACCGCCGCGCGCTTCTTCGTCAACGGCGATGCGCGTCGCGTGAGGCTCCCGCGAGTTCGGGGTGATACGAACGTTGCATGAACGCTGGACATGTCAAACTCCCGAGAGAGCTTGAGCACCCTCGAGTGACTTGACCGCACCACTTGGATACAGTGAATGGATTGGTGAATGGTGGCGAACGATAGCGGCAGTGATCGTTTCTCGTATGTGTGACCGTCCAGAGTGAAAATCGCATGAGAGAGAAGTCCCCTCGCAGCGATCTGCCACGAGTCAGCTGACCGCGCGGAGAGACGCGAGTAAGGACTCTCTACGTGCGCACAGCTTCCGGGGAATACGGTGAGAAAGACACTTTTACGCGCGAGAGAGAGACTTCGGGAGACCGTCCGCGGGACGGACGATGTTGTGAGCGCCGACGAGGACGCTGCTGGATTCTTCCACGGGGGTGGCGAGAGACCCCGATCGACTCGGCAAGATGAAGCGACGGCCGACCGGGTGTCCGCAGAAGCCACCCGTCGTCCGGCACAAAGACGCTCCTGATGACAGTCATTGTGCCCCGTCGCCATAGACCGAGTCGCCTCGCGAAGAAGAGACGAGGAAAGCCACTTTCCGCAGCGGAGTGTGAGAGCTCTTTATCGGGGGTCAATAGGACCGCCGGTCCTGCGGGGACGCGCCTCGTACGTTTATATATAAATCTGCGCGGAGCAGCGGGCACCTGGATTCCCACAGCCTCCCGGATCCCGACGGCCGTCGGACCGCGAGCTGCTGCGATGGACCTCACGACTGCTTACCGATACAACCAGAACATGATGGAGTATTACACCTGTAAGACACCCTTGCCGATAACCGCGCTCCCTTTTCTTTCTCTCCGCGCACCGTCGTCGGTGCGAATGACGTGAGCGAACACAATCGTCGTTTCTCGCCGGCGCCACACCTGAATTACGAACTCGTCTGTCTCTTTGCTCAGTGTCGCTGTTTCACTTGTTACTGTCTCTTCGTTTCTCTCCCTCGATAACGCGCGATCCCTTTTCTCTCCTCTTCCTCTGCCCCCTTGCGACTCGTCGGCCAACGCGGCCGGACTCGCGAGGAAAGGTTCATCTGGTTGTCATAGATTGCAGAAACAAAGTATGTTCTTTAGTTAGGAGATCGTAAGATATGTTTGTATCCAAAATTTTAGCTGCTATGGACAACAGGGAAAGACGTTGGACGCTTGTCCGTGCGATTTATGCATCAATCAGTTAATTTCAAAATGTCCATTGTTAAATTTAATCCGCTTTGCACCGTTTAAATGTGATTACGTCAATATTCAGGATACTTCCAAACACCTCTCGAGTATTGCTTTAATCCGGGAATAGTCGCCTTGTTTATTTATTTATTTATTTTTTTTTTTACGTAAACGATCACGAACAATTGATGTGCTTCTTCCGTTCGCTCTTTCTCGAATATTTTCTCGTTTCTCCGAATTTTTCGTCAAAAAGTAAATCTATACTTACAATGTCCCTAAATAATAATCGATCAATAATGTACTTTGTTAATAACAGCGACTTTTAATTGGGGTCTAAAACGATCCCAAGTGACCATTTCCGGGTTAAATCGGGTCAAATTGAGAAACGTTACAGAGAAGATCGTGCGTGAAACAGCATTCATGAAATGTGCCCACCGTGAGGGCTACTTTTGTTCATTCAATTGAATTCTTAAAAATCTTCATATTTTTTGCCTTTCATAAAAAATTCTCACAATGCTTATCCATAAATAAAAAAGCCGGCATGGTTACCACACGTTTTCCTATTGAACATATTTCGGCACGTAATTTTCTCACTTACAATCCATAGCGCACAGCTAAAACCTTGTCATCAGTCAGTATTCATTGAATTCTTTCAAACGAACGCGTCGTTCACCGTGCTTCTTCGCGACAACTCGCTTCGGACCCTCTCCTTGTGAGTAATCGCGATCGAATTACAATGCCTCGGTCCGCAACCCAGCTTTGAGACGTAAGCGGTAAGCAAATTGACCAACCACGGTCGATTATTATTCTAATAAGATTGCGAGCCGCGACGACGACATGAGTGAACGATGTCATTTTTCCTCGGCGCGCACCTGAGTTACGGAACTCGAGGTCTATTTCCTCGTGATGTCGTTGTTACATTTATTAGCGTCTTTTCGCCTTTCTCTTTCTCGACAACGCGTCTCCCTTTTGGTTTTACTCCGCTCCTCGCGACTCGTCAGCCAACACCGAGCCAATCCCGAGCGCGTCATCGCGATAACACGAGCGAGTAATGCCGTTATTCCTCAACGTACATCCGAATTACCTTCCGTCTTTTCGCGATGCGTCTCGCTACTTTCCCGCTACCGGCTCTCTGTCGGGCGATCGCATTCGGCGGCATCGGGAGACACGCATTTCAAACACCGGCGATTCTATTCCCGTCGTTCGAGTCGGCGAGCTCGCTTCAACGACTGTTTGCGTCAGGCGGCAACCATGACGGAACGATCTTAATCGCGTCTAAGTATAAATGAATCTAGCCTTGCGACCGGCGACTTTTTCCTCGCACGTTTTTCCCCGGGTAAGCTTTCAGCTTACCGTCGCATTCGCGTTTCTTCACGTTTCTTCCAGCGCGGCTCGGCCGCCGTAGCCGCGCGCGATCGTCGGTAGAACCTCGCCAAATCGGAGCGAGTCTCTCGCGGGATCGCGATTTCTCTCGGAGAGAAAGAGAGAGAGAGAGAGAGAGAGAGACCGCGGTCGCGCGCGGGGCGTCGATGAAACAGAGCAAACAGCGCGCGGCGGGAAAGAGCGCGTCGGGCTCCGGGCGTCGCTGGGTAAACGAGAGTGCGAAAACAAGAAATCCAATGGCCTTCGATCGCCTAGCGAGCCGTAGCGGTACCGGCACCGGCGAAAAACTCGACCGCAATCGCCTGCGATCTGCGTAGGAGCCGTTCGCGAAGCTGCTCTCGAGACGCTCTCTCTTCCCCCGAATTCGCGGTGAAACGCCGCGCATTGTCATCGCGATCTCTATTATAATCCGATTTATGCTCCCCCCCACCCCTCTGGCGCCAGAGAATCGCAGATTACCGTGAAACGTCGCCGACGCGGGCGAACGATTAGAGGCTCCGCGCGAAGAAGCAACTCGACTCGCGCATAAAATCATTCGACGCGACTCGCGCGACGGTGAACTTCGCGCAGGACGAAAATAACGAGTTCGTCGCCGACCCGCGCTCTCGAAAGTGCAATCAGTGCATCATCGTTGAACAGCAGTCACTAATCACCAGTGATCGTGATGATAAATGTAGCACTGTAAATCGAGAACATTTCACTGAAAAAGTCTGTTGATAGCAGCGACTGTTTCCATCGGAGAAACCTAATTTGCAGAAACAGCGAAAAGAGATGTTGCTTATTACTTCTTTCTGATTATCTTAATCCGACTCTTAAAGTACCTGTCAGTGATCCCGTCTGATATATTCTTATAATTATGTTTAATTGATTACATTTATATCGTATTTGAAAAACACGCTTCCCGATGGGACTCGAAGGCTTTTTAGCTCTTGAGTCTGTTACCATGCGAATTATACGTCAAATACGACATGCGGTTGAATGCATACGCGATATGTACACATGTATTTCTGCTATGAGACGAGTAAGGTTTGCAGTGAATCTTCGACCGGGCAAAATCAGTGAAGTGTTGGACGAAAGAGCTAAGTGGAGGAGTTTCCACTAAAGATTAGTGAATACTCGCTGATTATCAGTAGAATACTGTTTAACTGATTCAATTAGCCGATACTTTCGCTGATTCGACTTAAGAAAATCGACATTGCTATTTGATCAGCAGCCGTGTGGTGTTAATTAATCGAACCTCGGTGTCGTTTAAGAGTTGCCGCTCTCGAAACCGGCGCGCGTCGCGTTTACGAACGCATGACGGCTGTGTTAAGTCTGATTAAATTCTGACAAATGCGAAGAATCAACGAGACGAAACGGGAATCGCCGATCCCCGTTGACCGTCCCGTCGCTGAAACGTTTGCGAGGAATATCGCGATATAAAAAGCCGGCGATTTTATTGACAGTACGTGCAACTGGACGTTGTATGATCTTATCGTTCTTCACACTGTTATACGCGACATTCGTACTTCGGCATTACTAGAATATAATTAAATTTCCGTTATTATAGACAGGGATCTGCGGGATCTCAAGGCGCGTACTTCGATATCGCGAGCGACGTAATCGATCTGATTACCGGTACGACCCCGCGAGATTCCCCGAGGCGGTTGCGCGCCATACCGATGAATTACATCTCGGCGCGTATTTTTCAAGCGATCGAGTAATAAAGTCCGTCGTATTCGGGCGTGCCGGCAATACATAACGCCGGGGCGTAATGTAATACGGGAACAAAGCAGCGCGATGCCGGAGAAATATCGAGTGACTGTACGGGAATCTATATCAAAGTTCTTGGCTTCCGATATACACACGCACGCCGATCGTGTATCACCGGGCCTCATTTTATTGGCTCTGGAACTATCCCGGATCGGTCCTCCATTCTACGAGCGCACAAAAGTGGAACAGGGGAAGACCCTGAGTGTGTGTATGTGTGTACGTGTGCGTGAGTTCCCTCGCGTACGCGCAAATAAAATTTTTCAACGAGTAAGAGAATCCTCGGATCTTTCTTGCCGACTAAACGGATATTCGAATCCGAAAGAATTCACTCGTATCTCTGCAGTCGCGACAATTTGGTTATAGCGTGTACAGGTCGGAGGCGAGAAGGTTTGCAGCGTCGTTTTAATTCCGTGAGTTTCGGAACAGGTGCGATCGTTCCTTCAGTTTTTATCCGTTCGAAAACACGTGGAAATGATGGGGGTGTTTCCGAGTCGAAATTCCGGCTTTATGTTGAACCTTTAATTCCACAACACAGCACACAGTGCACTGAGAGGAGAAAAAAAGATTTGGTATTTGTGACTATAATCATCATACCGAAGGAATTCTAGTCCGGAGGATCATTTTTCTAGCAAGTGTTACAATGTCAGTGATAATAACTTCACGTGCATGCTGCTACCGTTACATTTTTAATTAAAACCATGAAAATGGTACAGTTGAAACTGAAAAGAGCTATAATTTCTCTCAGTGCAGAAGCTAAGGTAGTGAAATCGGTTCAATTTCACTTTTAACGATATAATTTACTCCCACTTTGACTCCGATGACGTCTCCAATTTCACTTTTCGCCGTTTTAGCGTCAAATGAAATCGTTCAAGGTGGCATTAAAATTAATTCGGTAAAAATAAAGTTCCGAAAGAGAAGTTAATATGCGCCAGTATCGTCGAAGTAAGTTTTTATCGGTCCACAGGCGTAAATAGTCTGAATAGGCGCGAATTATTCTGAAAAGTGTCGAAGCGGCATCAACATTTCGACTCGAAGTTGCAACCTCGCGCCGCCGTTGTACATACTCGTGATGATACATTGCGATAATCATTTGCGCACAAATCGATAATTTCCGATCGAGCGCGATACGTTCCACAAGTCGTATCATTTCTCCTCTAACAAGGATGTTAACTTCGGCGGGATCCGCGAGAGACAACGGAAATCAGACGGAGATTTCTCACCGCTACGGATCACGACGGAGGATTTCGATTCAGGGATATCGTTAGCGCGATAGCGGCCATCGAGGCACGTTCGTAATGAAAATGTAATGGCGAACCCCGGCCGATGGGAATCGCATTTGTCCGGAAGTAGTCTGCGGCAGCTCGGCGCTCAGCCAGGTCATCTTATTTTGCATCGGCTTCGCTTTTTGCGCGACGGTGGCTCGAATCGCGATTGATTAGGAAACGCGCTATTGGCTCTCGCCGATTACCGATCGGGATCGCGGTAAAACCATAAAGCTCGGTTTTATCTGGTCACGGACGCGGATACAGTTCGACGTGATTGCGTGCGCGAATCGCGCGTTCGAATCGACGCGGTCGCGAGCGCGTCCAGTCGAGTGACGTCTCTCGTCGAGAGCGCGAGAGATTTCTACCGAAATACAGAAGACTGCATTAATGCAGTCCCATTCTCTGAGCACATTAACATCGAGAATTCCCAATCGGGCGCGTTATGCCCGAATATTCCTGCATCACGGCTGTTGATCATTCGACGAGCCGACAACGACGCTCCCGAGCAGCGATGGTGACGCGCGAATATTCAGAAACGACGCGCCTGATTGGGAAATTTTCGATGCCGGGGGAACGGGAATGCATCGATCAAGTTCACCGGCAACGTAAGCAAGTGAGAGAGAGAGTCAATGGAACAGTCAACGAACGAGCGAGAATTCGCCATCAACCGGCTCGGTCATTCCGAAAGAAAAGAAAAAAGGCAAAACGATACTTCCTCAGCGCGCTACCGCCGCGTTCCACCGTCGACGTTTCGGCCGACGCCGTCCCGGTTTTTAATTGACGAGCGAGAGGACTCGACTTCATTACGTACAATGTAGGACGGACGATACGAACGCAATTACACAGAGCGGAGACGACGGCCGTCTCTTGATTCGACGTATCCCAGAAGTGCGGACCGGCAATAAGCTCCGGTAATGCGGTTCCACCGAGCGACGGCCACCGAAATCCGTAGTAGCCAGTAGCCGGCGGAGGTAGCGGCGGCGGTAGTGCGAGGCTAGCTCGATTCGGGGGTGGTCCAGGCTGGGCCCTCGTATAGCTGTGGTCAGCAGGCGTGACGGCGTGTGTGCGTGTAGGGTAGTCATGGTGCTTTCGCCCTGGCAATGCCACCATAATCCCAACGATGTCCCCTGACTACCGGCCGCGCCGCGGGGATGCGACCATAAACGCGAGAGCGAATTGATTTGCGACCGGAAAGCGCGTATCGTTTCCAGTAATGATCGCGGAGTCTCTCATTGTCTTCGTGTGACGACGAGATCATCGGGCGGCGCGCGAGCGAGCGAGCTAACGAACGAACGAGCGATGCGACGATGTACGATCGAACGACCGGTGCGGGGGGGGAGGGGAAAAAAAGAGAGGCACCGTGGTTCACGCCTCATAGACCGCGGCGTTACCGTAATTACGAAAGCTCTCGAATGGAAACGCGGCGGCGCGCGATGACGGTGCCACGATGACTCGTCGTTGTTGTCGCTCGCGCGTCGATGCGTTTCTTTACACTGACTGCGCCGTCGATGGTGCCCGATTGAGTCCGCGATTAAATTATCGCGCGGTCGCGCGAGAAGAATTCCAAAGGTATCGGTCGGAGAAAAGCTCGATTTTCCGCCCCTCTTGACGGTGAATCGCCCGCACGGGGAGGAATATTTCTCGTACCCTGAAAGGGAGATACAGTTCACATAACCGGAAATATTTTGTTGTAAGCAAGATAGATGAATTATGTTTGTGTGATAGACGTGTGTTTGATCGATGTGACTTATTACTTCGGGATGTCGACTATATCGATGTAGTCGCGCGTGATTTAGTCATCGCAATCGGAACTTGGTTAGGAAAGCTATACTGCAGAGCAGCGATGGTTAGGAAACAAAAGTAACTCATTACTCTATACTGAGAGAAAAATATAGCTGTCTTTGGGGAACAGCGATGTCCTTTTTTCATTTTAACCGCAGAAACAATAGCAGCAACATGCACGTAAGGTTACTATCACTGACACTATAGTAACATTTGCTAGAAAAATAGTTTTCTTGACCATTTTTGTGGTTAAAATGGAAATAGGATATTATTGTCCCCGAAAATAACTATATTTTCCTCTCAGTGTAGTAAATATAAGAATATAGGCATGGTCGTTGGACTCCCTGCTCGCTCCGATCGTCAAGGTGAGGCGACCGTGTATTAAAATGGATGGGTGACCGGCCCGAGGAAAACGTAGGAAATATAATAAAAAACCGCTTTCGCAGTTACTCGGATAATGGCTATAACTTATTTCATATTTATTTGCAAGACATTTTATCTAAGCCAATCAAATAGTGCAGCCGCAATTGAAATATTTGCAGTTGAAGTATATCAAAAAAGTCTGGTTGGAGCAAGCGGGGATACTCGTCACTGCTGCAATAGGAATCACACGACAATTGTACCGTGGTTGCAGCAACCATACAATTAGTTGTTCCATATTTTACTATTGAATCTATTTGGCACCACTCAATTTCTGCGTCGGCCGACCAGACTGTTTTTTCCACGTATCTTTAACTGTAATCGCGTGAGTGAAAGAATTATGGTCAGGAGAACCATTTTTCAAGTAAGTGTTACAATACCGTCGGTAACGATAACCTTACATTTATACCGCTACTGCTATTCTTTCATGAAGAAATTTGACAGGCTTTTAGGAGCAAAGCGTAGACGTTACGGTGCAATATGAATATTAATATTGACTATATTAATATTTACAGCGCACAATAACATACGTGCTTTCCTCCTAAAGGTCTGCTACATTTCTTATTTGGCTAGACCAAAACAGAACAATTTCCTTAATACCACTATGCTTTGAATTAAAAGCAAGCATAGTTGAGACGGAAGAAGACTATAATTTCATTGGGATTTTTCTCGGTGCACCTTTTACCACGGAGATGCCCGAATGTTGCACTGAAAAAATGAGTTCGGTTGGATCTACCTGACAACGGACCGCTAAACATGTTTTTCGTTGAAGGAGACAAGATTCCTCGTTTTCGCGAGCTAAATGTGGATTTCTTGTGACCAGAAATTCCGCTTCCTTCAGCCAAAACGTGTTTGGTTGGCCATTATCAGGTGGACCCAGGCGAACTCATTTTTCAATATGCCGGAAGGTTGGTGAAGAATCATAGACAACAACGACGGCGATTACCAGACTGATGAATAATTCATCCCCATTGAATGCAATTAAGTGAAATCCGACTCGGAAATCGAGCCAAACTTTTTCAACCGACCCGATACATCGTAATCCGTTTTATCCGTCTCTCGGTGGCCGGCGAACAACCGGCGATTCCCAAATTTATCGACGTTAACGTCTCTGTATTCCGAGCTCGTGCGACTCGCTCTTATCCCGATAGAAATGTACTCGGCGGGACAAGTGTCGAGGAGGGTGGAATATTCAGGCGAATTGTCGTAGGAGCGCGACAGCGGTCGACTTAACTCATCGCCGAGGGGTCGTCGAAAACAACGATGATCATCGAATCATCGGTGCACTGGCACGGACAGGGGGACATATGTCGCGACGCAGAACCCTCCATTACGATATTGGCTCGAACTTATCACGTTAGGCGGCTTTAATACGCGAAAATGAAGCCTGCGAGCGCGCAGGAGAGCGGAGACCCGAATCGAGAGTGGAGTGCAGCGAACGGGAGGGGAGGGGGAACTGATAATAATGGACGTACTCGCAACATTGACCCTGCAACATTTCACGATGCCGTAGAAACGATTAACCCGACGGAGACGTGGAAGCTCGCGTTCGTCGTCGCGCGTCGTCCTGTCGCCTCCCGCCACGCGAGAGATTATCAGATTATAAATGTAATCGTGCGCCAAATGTGAAGGGTCGGGGGGGGGGGGGGGGGGGNGGGGGGGGGGGAGGTGCGAGGTGATAAATCGTTATTTCAGAAACCACCAAAGCGTGAGAGGCGAGTCACTGTCGCAACGGGAAGTCTCGCCGGCGAACGGTACAACATTCTTCCACGGAGTCCGTCAAGTGGAATGATTTCGTGGCTAGAGAGAGAGAGAGAGAGAGATAGAGAAAGATGATCTACATCGGCGGTCTCGCGATCCGTTCTGCCAGCTTCCCTCAACAATCGTGGTGATCCAGCGCGCGCGAAACCCGATGATTCACACGCAAATCGCGTTTAACGGCGCGATTTCACGGCGGATCTTTCACGGGCGCGGAACAATCCTAGCGCGCGATTGACGCGTCGACCTCTCGAATCCCGATAACTAACGCTTCGTATAAATCGCCAAGAGAGAGAGAGAGAGGGAATCGCCGCTCGATCAAGCTATTCACCTACACACGTAATACCGATACGACGCGCGTTTCTTGCGGTAAGACGATGAAGATCGCGACGTTAACGTCGGATCGGACGGTGTTGAGCCGCCGCTCGTCTAACGCCCTATCGATCTTCGTTTTCCAGGTCACGGCGGTGTCAACCAGCTCGGCGGTGTCTTCGTGAACGGAAGGCCGCTACCGGATGTAGTCAGGCAGAGGATCGTCGAGATGGCGCACAGCGGCACCCGACCGTGCGACATTTCGAGGCAACTCAGGGTATCTCACGGCTGTGTCTCCAAGATACTGTCGAGGTGAGTACCTAACTCGGCGCGTCCGCGTGCTCGTATCCGTTACAACCGCAAAAGCCGGCCGTCGAACACCTCGGCGGCGGCGCGCAAGATGGGCGAGAGAGACCGTTAATCTGCACGCGCGAATTTCCATGGAGAAGCCCCGGCTCGGGCGAACCAATTTCTTCGGGCGACGCGGCCGGTTTCGCGAGCAATTAGCCCGGAGACGCGGCTCTCGCCTTCGCATTTGCCAAGTTCGAGGAATGGATGAACGAACGAACGAACGTCACCGGAGATTCGCGAGGTGATTTACGGGAGAATCGGGCGCGTCTCTTGCCAAACGCAACACCGCAATTTCCGAGTCGCGGAGTGGCCAAGGTCGTTCGAATCGCGGATGGAGAAGAAGGAAGAGAGAAAGAGAGAGAGTAAGATGAGGAGGCAAAAAGTAGAGGGGAAGGAGATGGAGAAAGCGTTCTCGGAGAAAACCCGTAGTGATTTAATTAAAGACGCTGTTAGGACCGAGACGAACGGGGGGGATGCACGGAGACGACCGGCCGGAAGGAAGGAACCGGCCCCCTCACCCTCGCGACGCGGGGGTGCTCGACGATATGCGGTTTCCATGTTTTTTCCACCCTCCGGTCCCCGCTCCGTTACATAACGGGTGGCCTCGTGCCGCTTTGATGGCCCGAACGTCATTCGAGCGTCCCCCGTCGGCCGAATATCATTGTCATATACGCTGCTCTTTCACGAATCCCGCATAATAAAGGCCGGCTGGATTATTTACTGCCGCGACTAAAGTTACCGTTTCCTTTTCCTTTCTTCGGCCCGCGTGCTTTTTCAGCACGACGATCGGAGAGAGAGAGAGAGAGAGATACTTTGTCATTAGCGGAATCGCGACTTGGCGATCCGTCGCGATCAAAGCGACTCCGATTGTGCGTCGAAATATCGGGCATAAATTTTTGCCGGACCGGCGAATCTCCTCGAGTTCTTGAACTCTCGAGGATCCCGGGCGACACGGAAGTCGAGTTCGCGCGAGAACCTCGGGGAGCGACGCGAGCTTCGTTAATGGCTCGATACGGGCGATAGCGGTCCGCGAGTTTGACGCGTTTCTAAATTTAAGTGCGGACTCCGCGTCTTCCGCGTGCACGGATGCTGCGGGCGACTTTATGGGCCGAAGGCACGGACGAGAACGTCCCTTAGATGTCGTTGACGCGTCGTCGCGCGGTTTACGCAGTCACGCGTCGCTGATACGACGAGTCGCGACGCGCGTTCGCCGAATCTAGGCGCAACCGGATACACCGGGATCCTTTCGGCCAGCCGAGGGGATTCGTAAAGTCAGCCGACGGGGACGGCGTTGAAAAGCCCCTCCGGCGGCACTCCGATGACCCCGACGAAACCGAGTCGCCTCGTTTGGCCGGAAAACCTTTTCTGCTTGTCGCGGCGGCGGAGAGACACAAAGTGCTCTTCTTTAGGGTTGCGCACGAAGGAAGCGAGGATCGTCTTTGTGCCGCGCTCTGTCCCCTGTATTCCGTATTCTGGACGCGTCGCGTGGATTCCGGGGACTCCGTAAAGCGTTATGACCCGAACTCCGCGAAACGCAGCCCTTTACCGGCGCGCAAACGCGACGACGCGTCTTTCCTCGCTCGCGCACGACTTACTCGACGCGCAATCTAAACGCGCGATCGGTGATCTGTAATTCGATCGAACGGCTCATTTAATCCCTCGCGTTGCCGTTCATTCGTGAACCCGTAGCACGTGCACAGGAAAAAAAATGCGGTTGTACCGATAGAGTTGTGTGTGCCCGAGTCGAAATTTTCAATTTTATATTAGGTCTTCAGCGGAGGAAACAGAAATAAGTTTCCCACTTGTAGCATCAAGGGAGTGCAGCAAGAGCTTCTTTAATGCTGCACAGGGAATTCAATCCTCCGAAGCCTAAATTTTAGTTCTACGTTATGTCTTCAAGTGGAAAAAACAGCAATAACTTCCCCGTTTTACAACAGCGAAGGAGCACAATGGGAGACCTATGAACAACTTAATGTTGAATTAAATTAGACTTAAACTAAGATTAAAATTTCGACTCTCGGTGCGGTCGACAGTGTCGTAATTGGAGCAAATCTTCTCGATTCAACGGTGATATCGTTGAAACTAATGCTTGAGTAATTGAGAAATAAGGTAGGATGTATTAGTTTCAATAATATCGTCATTGAATCAAAAAGATCTACTGCAATCATGACGCTGTTGACTAATTCTATTGGTAACCCAAGTTGAAACTTTGATGGTATTTTGACGTTCTTAAGGATAGTTTGTGCCTATTTGTGCCTTAGATAATTTAACCTAAAATTTGGATGATACTGACACTTACTTAACTTCTCTCTGGAACTTTTAATTCTACAGATTTAATTTTCACGCGACCTTGAATAGTATATTTTAAACTCTAAAATAGCGAAAGCAGAAATTTAAGAGATCATTAAAGTAGGAGTAAATTATATTATTAGAATTGAGCTTACCCCGAGTCGAGAATTTAGTTCTACGTTAAATCTATTTGGTTCTACTTTAAGTCTTCGTTAAGTCTTCTATTCCTTTGATGTTACAAATGAGAAATTACTACCGTTTTCTCCATTTGAAAACTTAATATAGAACTAAGTGGACTTAATGTAAGACTAAAATTGCGACTCGGGATTTTGTTCTCTTACCATATTGCGGAATTAAAAGTTTAGCATAGAGTCAAAGTTTCGACTCGAGACGCAACAGCATTTTTCCCGTGTATCTATTTAAGTTCACATTCTCCGAAAGAACATAAGTATACATTGCAACTGGATATATATAATCTCATGGAATTTTCCCATAGGTTCCCTCACTTATCACGAAATACCAAGATTAAGTCCAGTTCAGGATCAACAACGCGTGCACGCTTGGTTCACGGAAGCGCGACGTTGTTCCAAGAGGTGAAATTTTCGCGATCCGTCGTTAGACGCCTTTCTCGATCGATGTTGCTCGTTTTTTTAAATCAACGTGCAAATCGGCCGCGCCGCGGCCTCGTAACGACGGCCGTAAATAATGCCGTTTTTCCACGGAGGTGGCGTTTTCGATTTCGCGCGAGGCTGTTTCGAATCCATTTAAATCGGAATTAATGCGGCAAGGGTGAGCAACGCCGCGACGACGGCAAGGCCGATTTGAAAAATCGCACGATCTAATGGCCATTTCACGGTGGAGGCGGAACAAAGGGGACGAAATATCACAACGGGCGAGCGTTGCCGTGTGTGTTGCGGGCCCGGAATGGGGTTCTACACCAGATATGATCGTAATAATTTCGTGGGGGTGGCCGAGACCCGATCTGTTTAAGGGTGCTCGATCGTGTAATGCTTTTAACTGCAGGTTCACGGCCAATCGGTTTTTTTTCCTGAGAGAGAAAGAGAGAGAGAGAGAGAATCATACAATGAAGCATTTAGCGGAATAACGCGACGCGACGTAATCATAACGCAATAACACGAGGAACGATACGCGAACCGCGTTCCGCGATAATGGCGGCGCGTTGTAATTTTCATTAACACACTCTCGTTCCTCGTCGACACTCGAAATTCGTATTACAGACGGCGCCTGTCGCACAGACCGTAGGAATATAATTCGACTCAACAAGCCGAATCCCATTTTCGCCCAACGCGGAAACGCAAAAAACCTGTTACCGACGGCCTTTTATTCGGCGCGAATATTTTATTCTCCCGGCTGAAAAACACGCCAAGGTCTAATACCGGAGCGCGCCGCGTGCGTGTTTCCGCACACGCGTGTGCACGCACACGTAGAGGACACGGGGTGCGCGTAAAATTGGCCAGATATCCAGCGGGTATGAGCCGACGCCGACGCCGACGGCGGACCCACATCCATCAAGGCGGCCCACAAGCGAACCATTATTGCGGGCTATCCGGCGTAATTGAATTTAAGCACGAGCGAAGATATTATTTAACTAATTAGACACAAAGGGCGCGTTCATGGCGGGCCAATCGCGATTGCCCATCGCGCGTGTACATATACGCGCCCGACCGGTGGGAGGCCCGGTAGACGAGGGAGCGAATGAGAAAGAGAGAGAGAGAGAGAGAGAAAGAGAGGGACGACGAGAGATCCGGACGGCGAGGAGAGAGAGAGAGAGAGAAAGAGAGATAGAGAGGGAGGCAACAGCGGGAGGCCAGAAGCCGTTTGTTTTAAAACAGCCGGTCGTTGACGCGCCGCTGGACGGCGATTCGTTATTCCGACGTTGGCCGCCCACCGCGGGAAAAACGTTTGTTCCTCTCTCTTTTTCCCCCCTCGGTCTCCACCGCTGGAGCGAAAGAGAGTAAGAGAGAGAGAGAGAGAGAGAGAGAGAGAGAGAGGGAGAGAGCGAGAGAGAAAGGCAAACCGCGAAGTTTGGCGACCGAGCTCTCGTCGGCGCGGCGCGCTTTCAAGCGCGGTTTAAAGTCGATCGAAGAGCGGCTTCTCTCCCGCGAAACGCGGGACTCCTCGAATTTTTCACGAGGATACTGATCGTCGGCGAATTTGTTTCTCTGCCCGCAGGTATTACGAGACCGGTAGCTTCAAGGCTGGCGTGATAGGAGGCTCTAAGCCGAAGGTGGCGACGCCGCCGGTCGTCGACGCGATCGCCAACTACAAGAGGGACAATCCGACCATGTTCGCGTGGGAGATCAGGGACAGATTGCTGGCCGAGGGCATTTGCTCGCAGGACAACGTGCCATCCGTCTCCTCCATCAATCGGTGAGTCGGTCCTCTCAACGCGACCTCGATTAACACCGTTTCCGTGCACCACCGCTGGTACACAAACCGAACTTTCCGTTCGTGCCAGATTTGTTTCGGTTCCGTTCAAGCTAGTTTGATACTTCGAATCCACACGGAAAGCAAAGCTCGCTTGAATTCATCGGACAATGAACGAACCAAACATGTTTCGTTTCATGATTAAAAGAACGGCAGCACTTCTGGTTTTGAAAACCGAATTTGGTTTATAAGGATGAGAAATTCAGTTTCCTTCCAGTTGATGCGCGTTTAGACAGACAATTTTTCTTGAAGATATAAGCTATCTGAATCGAAAAAAATAGTAATATCGCCCGACTAGGATATAACGTTGAGACAACTTCAGGACGGTATAGGAAATGTTGGAAAGCAACGCGAACAACACGATTGCAATTGCACATCGCTGCACAGACGTCACGGTCTGCATTACAGTCAAACTGGCATTAGATATAACGTTCAATCCAAGCTGCAACACCGAAAACGCATATACCAATATAGGATATTTTTTACCCTATTTCCTGGCACGTAAGATAAATATATACCGAAAAGAATGGTAGAATCAACGAAATTTTCCTTAAACAAACAAGATTTTTTCAAGCGCAATGTTTAGTCCACCGAAAAAATTATATCGTTGCTGTATGTTCAGTGGACATATTTTTTTCAAATGAGAGCGACCGCTGATTTTGTCGATCCAGCCGCTTTTTTCCTCAGTACAGACACACACACACACACACAATCAGATTAAAAACATATCCCATCGAACTATTCGTTTATTGCTGGCGTGTACAAATTTCGGCTTTAATACGAATAAATCTTAGTCGTGCGATACAAAATCGAATAAATCATGTTACTATTATGCTGTATTAAGAAATATTATTCGAGAAAATTTGTCCGCTCGTTTGTCCGAGCCAATTCAGCTGGGTAAATTCAACGATATTTTTCCCCCGTGAGAAACGTGAAATATAATCATAAGATACTTCGCTGATTATAACGAAACACGTGTTATTTAACGAATAAACATTCGTTGCTCATAGCAACGTGGACCACTGGTCCGCGGGAAGTCGCGCGAAATTAGTGCGGCGCGGAACATGTCGAGGGTCGCGCCTGCGTCCTCCGAAGGTATTCCGTCGCGCTCTCGCTAATCGCCGTCCTCCGCCGGCGATTCGCCCGTTCCCGAGACGACCCACTCGGAGAAATCGCGACATATGCTCGCTCTCGTCCGCCCGCTGGTACGACAGATAGGGCGCGATCGGTTATCGCGCGATTTCATCGCGCCCGCACCCTCGCGTGTGCATCGAGATAAGTATGCACTCGGGCCGCGTCACCCCGATCCTATTGACCTTTCGCAGGTTCCTTCGGGACCAGGCCGATTAATTCAAGTGTTTCTGCGTCGGCCGACAGAGCGGACCGACGGAAACACGAGAGCGCGCGCGCGCTTAGGGCCGCCCTTACGAAAGCGAGAGGGAGTGAGCTCCCGTGGGACGGCATTACAGCGTATCAGCACCGCACAAACTGAACGACTACTACTCGGTCGTCCCCCTTTCGGCCGATGGAGAAGCTACACGCCGGGGTACAACGGGAAAAGGCGCGCGGAAAGAAAGGGCGGGGGAGGGAACACGAAAGAGAGAGAGAGAGAGAGAGAGGAGACGTACACACACGGGGGTACCATCGATCGACTCTCTCGCATATGTCCGGAGATTTAATCAGTCGCTACTTAAGACCTTATCTCCCGGCCGATTCAGCCGTCGGAAGGCCCTATCCTTCTCGCCGGGGCCTGACCTCGGGCTCTCTTCTCTCTCTCTCTCCGCCTCTATTTTCTCTCTCTCTCTCTCTCTCGCTCGCCAGCTACCACACGCAGCCGATAATGAAATGGAGCGTAATGCGAATCGAATTGCCGGCAAGCGAAATCCACTAACGCGATTTCCGCGCGGGCCGCAGCCGCTAATGGAAACGCACGCAAATGAGTTAGCGCCCGCGTAACGACGTAAGTGCTACGCGCGGCCGCTTATTTAAATTCCGCGTCGAGGTTGCGTGCGCGCGAGGGTGCCGAGGCCCGGGCCTCCGGTCAAGCTTGTCGCGGGTACTCTCTTTCCGGTGCCGTGAGAATTTGATTCGGTGCTCTCGATCCGAGTATTGCGAGTTCTTACTTGACGCCACCTTTCCCTCGTCTTGTCCCATGTCACTAGCCTACCTGTCGAAAGACAACGATTATACCACGGGACAGAGAGAGAGAGAGAGAGAAGGAGTGAAAGTTTTAGTTCAAAAAGCAAGAAAAAAATTAGAGGAGAGAAACGAAAAAATAGAAAGCAGTCAGTCAATCCTTAATGTCTAAACCCCCAACAACGTCTATGCTCATGTAAGTAATTATATAACAGACTTTTGAAAGCGTTGAAAGAACTGGAGCATCGGATGCTGTCCGGCAGACTATTCTATAAAGAAGCAATGAAGATTCTGAAAGATCTTTTGTATAGTTCAGTCTGACATTAAGGAATGCATAGCAAATCCGAATAAGTTCCTCTTGTGCTTCTATTAGAGACAGTGGCGCGAAAAATAGAAGGAGAGAAAGAGAGAGAGAGAGAGAGATCTTTGATAAACTCGCATAACGGTTCGGTTACCCGAACAGAAAGCAATTAACTTCTCTTCCCCCTCCGTTACGCTTCCCCTCATCTCCTCCCCCGTTGCAGCGTTTCGTCAAGCCGTTCGCTTCTTTCGCGATCGGGAGAGGTGCGCGAAGCGAGCGCGCATATTTTCATTCTTTCACTGCGGCGTCACGGCGCGGTCACGGTAGCGTGAAACGTGGGCGTATGTAGGTACAGGAATTACTTTCTGGCCGAGGTTTTCGATGTGTCTAGGATTGCAGTGGAGGGTGCGGCGGTGGCTTGTTGCTCGAGTGACTCCTCCACCTCCGGCTCCACCTCCGACACACGCTCGCCTCCTCCTGATTCCTCTCTCTCTCTCTCTCTCTCTCTCCCTCTCTCCCTGTCTCACCTTCTCTTCGGTCTCGGTCTCCCTCTCGCGACTCCTTTTCCTCCTTGTCCCTATCCCCCGACCCGAGGCCCAGATGGCGGGTATTGATCTGAATCCGGAGAGCAGATCGCCTGGAAAAACTTACCCCGCGGATACTTATCTACCTACCTACCTACCTACCTAGCTACCTACCAACCTACCTACCCAGCCCGCTATCTACATGCGCCCATCCAACGTACCATCACCCACTCACGTACACCGAACCCGCAACCTTCCGTCCTACCCACTCTCGGTGCAGGTAAATGCATTTCCGCTCGACGAGCAGCGGGATGGAGACGCCCGTGCGTCGGTCCTTTCGGAAAATGGCCATGCGTCCGGCGTGTACTGAATAATCGTGTGACTATTGAGGGACTTTTCGATATTATTATATTCGACGAGAGGGCGAACAACGATCTCGCCTCGCCGTAAAAACAGACGCGGGATTCGTCGCGATGAAACGATGGGTGCTTCCTCCGACAAGGAGAGAAAGTACGAGTTCGCATCGAAGGACGCGACGGCTTGCAGCGTTTGACACTTTACGGCTTTATCTCGCGCGAGCTCCGCGAGAATCGAATACCTTATTCTTGACACGATCGCGGCATTGTAACGGAACGAAGAGAGAGAGAGAGAGAAGAGAGAGGTGTACAGATAAAAGGGCGAGCTCCGCTTCCAATCGATCGAGAATCGTGTTTTCATCGACGGACCTTCGGCACGGCTGGAAGTTAGTTTCGAGAAAAGAGCGCGAGAGCAAAGAGAGAAAAGGTCCCGATATCAAGCGGGTGATTTTACCGCGAAGAAATGGGAACTGGGTGCATCAGTGCGGCGGCCGGGGCGCGCAGCGCGCCGGGATTTCTCCCATTATGAGCGTGTCCGGCTTTTTCTAGCCTCGCGGTTGCTTTCGGGGTGGAGAAATAATGATACAGCTAATATAATGTATTGTCCTGCTTTGCCGGAGCACTTCGAAATGAGACCGTCCGCGAACGCGGACGACAGCGGGAGGGAGAAGGAACGAGAGGAGAGCGGAGGAGAGAGAGAGAGAGAGAGGCGCGCGCGGTGGTCGCGGTGGACACAGTAAAAAAGGTGGACGAGGAGAGCGAAATAATGGAGTGGCTTTCGCGAAAAATAACAGTTATATATCCCGTGTATATGAGACGGGATTGAGGAGAGCGGAAAAACAGACGAAAAATGAAGAGAAGATTGGACGCTAACAGTTCCGAGCCTCTTCTTTATTCGGCCAAGACGCCGACTCAGCGACTTCTTCTCTCCATTGTTCTCTCTTTGCACGCTCTTTATGAATCGCCGGGTCCTGATTAAAAAAGAATGTCATTTCCTTCGCGCAATTCTTACGAGAATTATACTTTCTCTCTCTCTCTCTCTCTCTCTCTCTCTCTCCTACTTCCTTTTTTTTACTAAAAGGAATCTCATGTCGCCGATTCATTTCATGCATTTAGCCAATCACCTGTGCCTGATAACGCGTCAGATCGAGCGAAAATTGACGGGAGTGAAGTGAAACGAAGAAGCGAGTGAATAAGCATCGTTTCGGGAAACGATCGGAGAAACGAACGGACCTATCGGACGTGTATTCGAGAGAGAGAGAGAGAGAGAGAGAGAGAGAGAGAGAGTAAGAGGGAGAAGGCCTGGGAGAAGAGCACCGGAGAAACGAAGGATTGCCGAAGGAGCTACGGTGAATTTCGGGAGGAAATATTGATAGGCTCGGCTTCGACTGCGGAGTCACGGTCGAGTAGGCGGCTCTCTACCGAGGTCTATCTTACACGTATACAAACCCGCAATGGGGCCCACCGTCCTCCTCCCTTGCCCCCTCTCTCCACCTCTCTCTTTCGCTCTCTTAGTGTCGATCCCTTACTCTCTCTTTCTCTCTCTCTCTCTCTCCCTCCTTCTTGGTCGGAGGAGTCTCAGGGGCAGATCGATAAGGAGCGAGGTTCGCCCGAGAGCTTTACGCC